ATTTCATCATACTGTGCACCTCTTTTCAGTCTTTGCTCCCCTACATCCATGGCAAGACTGGCTTTAGAAAGAAGAGCAACATCTTCCTCAGAGTAAAATGGCAGGAAGGGAGGAAAGACGGAAGAATTGTAAGGGTCTGACGTGTGGCATTGAGGGAGTTGATGTCGACAGTCTCCACTTTGGGAAAGACAAGGGACATAATGTGCTTCGGGAGGACCACGGCGGACAGCTCCTGAGATGCGGGCTCCTAACATGACTCACGGCACGTCACGGACACCCTTTATTTAGACCCTAGCTAAATGAAAGGGGAAGTCTTGGTGGCTGCTGGGTCACTCCTCAGTGTAATGAATGCACTTGGTCACAGGAGGGGGGACCCAAGAGCCAGAGGCATAAGGAATGACATCTCTCCCACGTGCTGAACTGTCTGTTGCCTAGTAGCCTGGTTCCTCCAGAAGTACCGGTCCCCGCCAGAGACCATTCTGTTATTTCAGAGCATTTGTGGGACTGAGTGCCGTCCCCCTGCCGTGAAGCATGATTTGACATAGCTCACAAAAATAGAAAACGATTCCCTCTATTCTTATGGCTTCACCTAAATTAAGTTACAGCATCCCCTATTGAGTTTGAATATAGCAAAATTTTGTTTTAGTTTAATGATCCACTCTTAGGATTATGGAGTTCCTGGCCAAAGGGGCTTTTTGATACACTCATGCAATCTCACCGATCCCATCACTGTAAAAATCTATGCATGAAAGCACGGTCTCGTTCACAGCTGGACTTATGGAAAGGAATAAGGCAAGGAGTTCCATTCTTTTAATTACTCATTTCTAAAATAAGTACAGCTATAAATATTGCCAATACATATGTTGTAGGATGAGGATTTTCTAGATATGTGTGGCTAAGAAGTGATAAATGGCAGTCATTCTCAAAGAAAAGCTCTTACAAAGAAAAAAAAAAGTACAGACGGTCATTTCTAAGACTAGAAAATATTACACCAGAAGAATTAAGATGGACACACCTTAACACAGAGGATCATGGAGGAGATGGAATTTAGGTTTATACGGGAACTTAAGGATAATTTTGATCAATCCCTTTCCTTGATGGATGGGGACGGAAACCCAGCAAGACAAAAGAATGGAAAAAAATGAAAGAATGGAAAAATCCCAAAGGTCATTTTGCCAAGATCCACTGATGATAACACTAAAGCTCAAATTATTAATATAATTTGTTCAAGGTCAAGCAACCAGAAAATTGTGGAGTTCAAGCTCAGCTTTGATCCTCTGACTCCAGATGTCATACTTTCTGTGCTCTACCTTATGGTCCCTCCAGGATATTTCTTAATATAGCCTCTTGTAATTTCCTGGCTAGAGCTGGAACCCATACTACTAAGCGAAGTATCCCAAGAATGGAAAAACAAGCACCACGTGCACTCGCCAGCAAACTGGTATTAACTGATCAGCACCTAAGTGGACACATAGGAATTTACATTTATCGGGAATTGGGCAGGTGGGAGGGAGGAGGAGGGGACAGGTATAAACATACACAAAGAGTGAGATGTGCACCTTCTGGGGGATGGACACGCTTGAAGCTCAGACTTAAGGGGGAGGAGGGACAAGGACATTATACATAACATTAAAATGTGTACCCCCATAATATGCTGAAATAAAAAATATATGTATAGCTTCTAGGGGAAACAAAACCCAACCTGTGAGGGAAGAAAAAACTAGAGAAGATGAGGAAGGAGGAAGTCGTGAAGATATCTGACTGGTGTGAGGCTCTTATGGAGAAGACTTGCGCCATAAAAAGATCGGATAGCCCAGATGATGGACCAATGGTCTGTGTTTCTCTTTGGAAGGTTGTTGCCTGGTTGCAGGCTACAAGCTGCAAAGACCTGAGTTGGCTCCACAGAGAAGAAAACAACGTTGTACAACTTGGAAGAAGATATTGACCTCTAAGCGCATTTGAAATGCAGTGGAGTGAAAAAAGCACGCGCATGGGAATCAGGATCCAAAGATTTTAGTCCCAATTTTGCCATTACCTTTTCATGACCTTTGATGAGGCACTTCCCCCTTGTGTGACTTAGTTTACCCATCTATAAAATGAGCCATGTTTAATTTCATGGTTCTCAAATACTTTTCTTGCGTTATATCACTCCCATTGGTGGAGATTTGCCAATAATTTGGGAAATGATTGAAGTGGGACACTGTAAACTGACAAGGCAGACCACATTCTTAGTTGCAAAAAATGACTTTTTATACATTCTTGACTAATCCATATGTTTACACATGTAGTAGTTGATTAGCCTACTAAGTTGGGTCGAGGGATATTCTCGTGGACTACTTTAGAAGGGTAATTCATCCCTTTACACATTGGGCATATCTGACAGAGGTTACACAGGTAACAGAAAAATTATGATTTCTGGTGCACGACTTCTCACTAATGATCAACCACTGATCTTGGATTAGTAGGTTTTGCCTGCAGTCATTATGAATAGACTCAAGGGAACTGTTAGTTTATTTTAACATTTTTCTGAGAGACATTTGGTTCAGAAATTAACTGGAGTTACAAGCTCTTGGGGCAATGAAAGAATGGAAAAATTCCAAAGATCATTTTGCCAAGATCCACTGATGCTATTTTGCTACGCAAACGAAGACCAAAGCTGCAATGAAATAACCAACCATCAAGATAAGATTACAAGTTTTTATCACAGATCTAGTTTTTCACTTGCATATTGGTTTGCAGTATTGGTGAATTACAGACATTCATCGTAATATTTTGACCTGCAACCAGAGTTTGAACTTGCTGTTCACAGTACATACAAGGATATCAGAGGGCTTATGAACACCCTAAAATGGTGGGGAAATTGGGGTTCATAGATGAGTTTGTGGATATATAGCTTTCATTTGCTTCTCAAAAGTAACACCAAAGGTTAAAAAGCACCACCACTCTACAGATCCTATAATAACAGATCACAGTTGAGATATTTCTTTCATAAAACTGAAAGCTAACTTTGAAACATTGCCTAAAATTTCCAATAAGCCCTTCACTACACAAGGGTTGATAACAGACCTCCGCAAGTGTACGATACCTCCTTTATATATACATCTATATATTCTCCTACTTGCTTCTCTCCCCTCTGCCCACTTCCAAAAGTGGAAAATAAAACAACAACAAAAACAGCAGTAAAGCATGCAACATAAAGCCATTTACCGGAGTCCGTAGAGAACTGTCCCATCAGGATGAAGCCGGATCATTCGGTTTTTCACTGTGACCCCATGCACAAATGATTTCTTGTCATTCAGAAAGTAGGTGTCTGGCACCCAAAGTTGGTCAGCTACCCTGTTGTCTAGGGTGAGGTTTAGCGGGATTCCAGAATAAGAAAGCCTTTTGTCTTTCCAAGACTGCTGGAAATACATGGTGAGTGTATAATCCTGTGAAATAAAGGAAGCCAAAAAAGAATTTTACTAACATTATCATCTGAGGCTTATTGATAAGAAACTGATAGCATGTGTCATTGTGGATGCCCAGAGACCCACTGTCCTGATGTTCCCTACAAGATTACATCTGAATGCAATGAAATTTGCACCTCCAATAATAACACGCCAACCAGTAGGTTCAGAGCAATCCTTGAATGTACACATACACAGTTCCATCCCATAAGAGCAAATACACTTAATTGAATTTTAAGGTTTGAAGTTAAAAAAAAAATGATATTCATAGGGAAGGTAATAAAGAGAAATTATACAAAGAGATCCATGGTCACAAAAATTCACCTCTGGATATTATATTTACAGTTCTAGTTTGGAGAGGAATGTTTCACAAATAATAATTAAAACTTGGATGCACTTAAAAAGAGCAGGTGTTTTTCAAATTTCAAATGCTTTTCGAGTAAATATTGCTCTGCTTGACTGACAAAGGTTATCAATTGCCACCGTCTGTATCTTTCTAGCGAATTACAATTTATCAATGGGTCCTGAAAAGTAATTAGAAAACACATGTAGATGGAGATGTTTATTTGGCCTGGAGACTGACATTATTGGTGGAACTACTCAACAATTTCTCTCTTATCTCATTCCCGCTTTGTTTTGGGAATTGACTTGAGTTGGGAGCTGGAAAAATCAGAGGGTTTGTTTCCTCACCTTCTGCAAAAGGCTATACTGAGGACTCTATTCCCTTTTGGTCTACACAGGTTCCCCCTGGCAGTTCAGACAGATTTGGGCTCCATATAAATGGATCAAGCTACAAGGGAGGGATGTGATGATTATCTCAGCACCCCTTTGTCATGTTTTTTAAAGACTCTATGGCATGCCAGGTAAAATTGCCCATTCAGGAAAATAAAGTGGAAGCAGTAAAATCTCAAAGTCTTTAAGATGTGAATCGCAACGTAATAAAAACAGAGGGTTCGCTTTACTTTTTTCTTTCCATCAATTCTTTTTTTTTTTTTATTATTTGGCAATATTACCTGGGGGTACAGAATTTTTAAGGTTTCATAAATGCCCAATTCTCCCCCTACCTCCAAAAAAGTCTGAGTCTCCATCAATTACCATCCCGCAGATGGCTGCAGCCAAATCTCCACTCATTATAGTAATCGTATATACGCCCCTCCCCCTCCACCTGAATACCCTATTTACTCGTCACCTCTAATCGTCCACTTAGGTTGCCTACTCAGCTTATATACCAGTCTTTGCTGGAGAATGAATATCTGGTGCTTGTTTCTTCCCAGTTTTAGGGAATACTCTTTGTTACATTTTAAAGCACATTGTATGTCAGTAGCGATTGTATGTCAGTAGCGATTTTGTGAATACCTTAGCGACTATTAAGAAAACACAGTATTTAATAGAATAGTATTCTTAATAGAAAGAAAAACGGTGTAACTCCTGCTCAAGGCCCATGTGCTGCCACTGTTATATACACCACTACCTGAGAAACGATGAATCAGATCATGCCTTACACCTGGGCAAACTGCATTTCATCTAGACCTCCAGATGGATATATAAACGCATAACTAGTGGGTGCAGAGTGCCCATATCTCTGAGGATGGGCACACTTGTAGCTCTGGCTTGGGCGATGCAAAAGCAATGTATGTGACCAACATGTTTGTGCCCCCATAATATTCTGAAATTTGAAAAAAGAAAATAAATTTAAAATAAATAAATAAATGCATTTCTGAAAAATCCTAAAAAGGAAAGCACTTCCTATTATGGATAATGACTTTAAGTGCCTTTTAATCATCAATATTCAAGAATGTTTGCACTGTTTACTCAGTAACCCTCGTGCGATAATTCAAAGGCACTCTTTCCTGTTCAATGGCACGAATATTTTCTCTTTGCTGTTGGTCATACAACATCCTTTTAACAGTCTAAAAACCCCCCTTCTACCTTACTTACACACACACACACACACACACACACAGAAGACACAGAGTTCTACACAGTTCTCTTCTCATTTGCTACCATTCTAATCCATATCCTCTTCAAGTTCTTAACATCATGACTTTTTGGAGGTAAATGAATTGGGTAGATTATGGGTCTTGCATTCCAAAATAGCTTGATTCTAATCTCTGCCGCATGTAGAACTGTGTAACCATGAGCTACTAACATAACCTCTTGCACTTCAGATGTCTCGTTTATAAACTAAAAAAACCAAATCCCAGCATTTTATTGGCCTATTGTAAGCATCAATTGAAAAAAATTGAGGTTAAGTTACTTTAGAAACTTTAGAAACTGTAACACACCAGATAAATAAAATGTGTTATCTTCAAAACTGTTAATTGCTACCTATAGATTAATATTATACTTCCAAAATACTTGAAGTGTACATATTCGTTTTTTCTATCATTTCTATTCTTAAGGAGATGTTTATGAAAAAACTTGTAGGCAGATGTATTCTTTGGGCCATGAAAATAAGCAATAGTCTGTCATCAGTTCTAAGTCTTGGTGTTAGCTTCTTGTTTATAATTTGGCCAGTGTGGGAAAATTGACATTAGCCACAGTCATACTGTTGCAAACTTGGTCATGGTTATCTGCACAATTAGCAGTGGATGCATGGTTCGGTGCTCATACTGAATCCTCGTTAGCATCCAGATTTTCATGAGTGCTACAGAGGATTTCCTGGCAAGGAGACCTTGTGGTGAAATCCTTACTCCACAATTCTTCTCAAAAAATTTTTTTTGTTGTTGTTGTTTTATTTAATTTATTTCAGCATATTGTGGGGGTACAAATGTTAAGGTTATGTATATTGCCCATGTCCCCCCTCCCCTCTTGAGTCAGAGCTTCAAGCATGCCCATCCCCAAAAAGTTGTACATCTCACTCATTATGTTTGTATATACCCATCCCCTCCTCCCCCCTCCCACCTGCCTGACACCCGATAAATGTTATTTCTATGTGCCCACTTAGGTGTTGATCTGTTAATACCAATTTGCTGGTGAGTACATGTGGTGCTTGTTTTCCATTCTTGGGATACTTCCCTTAGTAGTATGGGTTCCAGCTCTATCCAGGAAAATACAAGAGGTGCTAGATCCCATTGTTTCTTATAGCTGAATAGTATTCCATGGTATACACATATACCACATTTTATTAATCCACTCATGTGTTGATGGGCACTTGGGTTGTTTCCACAACTTTGCCAAAGAAACTGTCAAGAGAGCAAACAGACAGCCCACAGAATGGGAGAAAATTTTCGCAAGCTACACTTCCAATAAAGGGCTGATAACTAGAATCTATTTAGAACTCAGGAAAATCGGCAAGGAAAAATCAAAAATTCCTATCAAAAAGTAGGCAAAGGACATGAACAGAAATTTTCCAAAAGAAGACAGAATAATGGTCAACAAACATATGAAAAAATGCTCAACATCTCTAATCATCAGGGAAATGCAAATCAAAACTGCAATGAGATATCATTTATCTCCAGTAAGAATGGACTTTATCAAAAAGTCCCCAAACAATAAATATTGGTGTGGGTGCAGAGAGATGGGCATATTCCTACACTGCTGGTGGGACTGCAAACTAGTTCAACCTCTGTGGAAAGCAATATGGAGATACCCCAAAGCAATACAAGTGGATCTACCATTTGATCCAGCAATCCCATTACTGGGCATCTACCCAAAAGATCAAAGGACACTCTAAAAATGGGACACCTGCACTCGAATGTTTATAGCAGCGCAATTCACAACTGCAAAGTTGTGGAAACAACTCAAAAAGTTTTAATGTGTGAAGGAGAAAACAAATTATCCTAAAGTATAAAGGATTATCTTGAAAGTTGAACAGTAGATTTTGCCACAAAAAAAAAGAAGCATATGGTGTATTATCTAATACACATGTTAATTACCTTGATCTAGCCATTCCACTATGTATACACATTTCAAAACATCATGTCGCACACTATAAATACACACAATTTTTATCTGTCAATTAAAAAAATGGCAAAATAATACTGTAATAATAAATGCTACTTAAGATGTGAGCTTGTGGTAGGCAAACAATGGAAAGTAGAAAGGAGAAAATAATGTAAATGTGAGTCATCCCTGGTTAGGGTGTGTGTGTGTGTGTGTGTGTGTGTGTGTGTGTGTGTGTATGTATGTGTGTGTGTGTGTGTGTGTGTGTGCTTGTAGACATTTCCCCTTCACTCTTTGGAAACAGTTTTGTTTCCTGTAGAGAAAGAGCTCTTTGCCAGGTGGGTAGATCTCTGCTATACACAACTCATTCTGTGTTTAACAAACATCGAATAAAAATCACATCATGGCTCTAAATTAAAGCAATGACTTACTCAATTTGCAATAAGTAGCGATCCAATGAAAATGTATGTATGTTAGCATGTTTCATCTGGAAGTGGGAGCTATGGGAGAAGGACCCTTCCAACCTCGTCTTTTAATGCATCTCTAGGGCTGGTAGCCTGATCAAGGACCTGACTTTATAATGAATGAAAATATGGACATGGGAAATTGATAACCTTAATAAAACCTTTTTGAAGATAATGATAGTTATGGTGATAACGATGAACATCATGGAAAGACCTAAAATACAGCAATTTCTCCTTTTCCTACTGTCTACATTATGCTAAATGCATGACAATCATCCCCCGTGGCATGTTCTGTGCTCTGTGGTCCTCCTGTCCCTCTCACATCTATTATCAGACTGTGTTCTCACAGCAACAACCTTGTGAGACACGCAAGTTCTCCTCGAAAGAATTTCTGATTTACATATCAGAGAAACTATTTACAGTATTTTTTAAAAAAATTATCCTCATTATCTATACATTAATCTACATGTTAAGAGTGACATCTGAATATAATACAGCTTAAGACTTGATTTTGGTGAATCCTATTTTTAGACAAAAAAAAAAAGAGAAAGGCTTGCAGTTGCTGTAGTTTGTTCTCTCATATGATAGATAAGTTTCCTGTTAATTCTTCATCGGTCCAAAGTGCAAGCAGTCCAGAGAGGATAGAAAATTTTTCAGAAAAAAATTAATGCTCTTTGGCCAAGAGCCTCGAAATCATTTCTCTTGCAGGTGTACTTTTACAAATGTTCGACCAGCTCTCCTAAGTGTGCAAGTTACTCCTTGAAGGGAAGTGTGACCTATTTGGAAACGATGGCCCACGAGGGATTCTTTGACACTGAGGTAAATTAATGGGATTAATGGGCGTGAGATTGTTAATGAAATCAGTCAGGCCAATTCAGGCATGGGAGAATTTGATTCATTGAGGAAAGGCAAGATAGGCCATGCCCAATCAGTAGTGCTCAGCGAAACTCCAAGGGAACATACTTTTGACATCTAGAAATGATTAAAGGTACGGTACCTTTGACGGGAGAAGTACCCTTCAAACCTCTCCTTTTAATGCATTTATTTGCTAGCAGAGTGCTGCAGGGTGTGGGCGGGAGATGGTCAAATGTATCGATTGAATGTGAATTAAGTAGTGCTGTGTGTTTTGGGGGCACGTAACATCATCACTAAGTGCTGAGTCATCCCATAGAGTCACCTAAGGAAATAACATAAGGCACACTATGATACACGGACATACCTGACATCACCATGCCAGCGGGAGGATGAGACTCCCTGTGCGAAACTCACAGGCTGCACTGATATAGCACAGGGTTTTAGCATTTGCGATCTAATATTTACTCTTGAAACTATAAACTAAAATATTTCATATTTTGTTAAAATAGGAAAACCTTTTTATTTCCCCCAATGCATCCAATTCCTTAAGGTGGATATGACACAATTTATGTTTCACACGGTGACAGCCTAAATGTCTCATATTCTAAATATTATCTAAATAATCAGAAGCTCCAATAATTAGAGTTGTTTCCATGGTAAGATAGAGTGAAATGCTGAGCCTGAAGCAGGGAAAGTTTTCTAGAAATTTCTGAGTCAAAAGATCTTAGGCTATTAGAATGACTAATTCATTCTGTCAACATTTAACAGTTGTTTGCCGTAAAGAACTGTATCATGTCAGATGCTGAGGAGAAAAAGCTGAACTACGCACATTCCCTGACTCAAGGAGCCGCACATGCTAGTTGGGGAGGCATAGAGCTGTTTACCCTGTTTCCCCGAAAATAAGACCTACCCATAACATAAGCCCTAGCAGGATTTCTAAGCATGTGCACCATACAAGCCCTACCCCGAAAATAAGCCCTAGTGATGGGTGTGGCTACGCAGTGCATCTGCACAACCCATGCATGTCCTCTGGGAGAAGTCAAGAAGAGGAGCAGCCCTTCTCATCTTCCCCGTGAGAGCTCTAGTGGTCCACATGAGAGATCGGGGCCAGTGGTTCTAAAGGAAATAGAGTCGCAAGACATTCAGGATGGAATTCAGGAACTCTGGAGAGTGATGATGATGTTCCAGAAGAAGACAACTTCACTCTATTTGAGTAAATGTAGATGGTTGTACCATACTTAAAAAAATAATAATAATAATACATCCCCTGAAGATAAGCCCTAGAGGGTGTCTTCTTGAGGAAAACTTAAATATAAGACCCTGTCTTATTTTCGGGGAAACACGGTATTGCCACGCTGTCTCGCCGTCCCGCTGGGAGCTGCTCAGCTCTTCCCTTGCGTTGTCACCATCTCCCCGTATGAAGTTCCCTTCCCTTCAAGCACTCAGAGAACGCAGAGTGGCTCCATTCTTCTTCACTGGAATCTGTAAGGAGACATCTCCGGGCCAGATTGGGGCCGAGACCCACAGTCAGCAGAACGGGGAAGCTCCCTGCTTGTCCCCAGAATTGGCAAGACGGTCACTTGTTGATCAGCAGAGAGAACCGTTCCTCAGGGCAAACGGCCAAGGACCTGTGGTTTCGCACTCGGGCCAAGGTTGTCTGTTGTCCCCCACGCATAGGACCAGACGGTGAAGGACAGGGATGCACGTGTCCCCTCCCCTTTTATCTCGAGCTATGTCTGGAGGAACAGGTGCTGCTGACCCTTGAGCAGTCTCAGGTCCTGAGAAAATAGCTGCCCCGGGCGGTTGCCCAATTGAACAGCATGGAAACAAAACGACTGGCGCTAAGTGGCGCTGCAGTCTTGCACCGTCTCTTTGTGCGTCCGTGTGTTCTGTGTGTCTTTCTGTGTTCATCCCCCATTCTGCAATCATGCCGCGGCAGGAATCTGCCTAATAAAGTAGACAAGCCTGCTGAGTAGGGGGATATCCGTTCGACAATTTCTTGCATTCACCTAGACAACGAATAAGTCAGGGCTGACCTGACTGACGCACCGCCGAATGGGGGAATGGAGAAGATGTGAGATGTTTTAAGACAACGCTCGGTGGTGACCTTTTAGTGTTGAGAGGTCAGGAAGAAGCGGGCGGTCGGAGGGCGGCTGCTGGGGTCTCTGACCAGGATAGGCAGAGAGATTGCGATAAGAGGAACGGCAGCTTGCCGGCTGCAAAGTGACTCGCTTATCATTTCAGATGGGTTTGCTGTTGTGGGTGTCATGGCCGCCCGGCCCGGAAGAGCTGCCCGGTAAAAGTAGTTCCGGGTCAGAAAGCAGGAAGCCGGGGGCTGCTGGGAGAATGGCGGCTACGCAGAGTCACGAGTGGTACCCGGAAGTCGTGGGAAGGAGTGAGCTCACCGCGGAGAAGGGAGAGGTGAGGAGAGGATAGAGACGCGGTTGCAGGATTAGTCACTCGCTCCTGCGAGCTCCCACAACACACCCCTGCCTTGACTGCGTGTGGCATTTCTCCTGTTGTTTCGGAACGGTTTCTCAGCCCCACCGGGTTCTGGGCTCCCCCGTGGGGGCAAACGTTTTTATTTTGGCAGACGTTTTTATTTTATTTATTTGCTAGCAGAGTGCTGCAGGGTGTGGGCGGGAGACGGTCAAATGTATCGATTGAATGTGAATTAAGTAGCGCTGTGTGTTTTGGGGGCACTTAACATCATCACTAAGTGCTGAGTCATCCCATAGCACTGCAATATTCTGGAAAAAAAATTATTCTTAGATAACATCTGTGGGGATTTTCAGATAGCTAAAATAATTACTAATGCAGAGTTTCTGTTCCATAACAACACAAGATAAACGGGTCTGTAATTCCTTGTGATACAGAAGATGATAAAAGGATATGGAGTTTAAAAAAAAAATCAAACTCACTCTTTAGGACTGGATGAGGAGTCATTTCGAACGAAATATGAATAGACCAACTTTGATTTATGTTAAATAAGATTTTATTGATGGTTCCAGCAGTCACTCTCATCCATTTGGAAGCATAAGGGTATTTATACGAAAGCTTTAAAAACGGATCTCTATTCAGCAAAGTTTTGAGGCTTGTTGAAGAGTTAGTAAATATTCAAAAACAATCGAATATTCAAGCGATGATTAATTCATCAAGAGAATGATTCATAAACTTCACTGGCACATAAAACCACATGATGGCATATGACACATTCTTTTTTTTTTTTTTTATTTCTTCCTCATTGATTTGGTGAAATAGACACATTCTTTTTTTTTTTTATTAAGTTCCTTAGTTTCAGAGGTTTATAGAAAATTAGTGTTTCCATTTTTTTGTTTTTTTCAATATCAAAATAAGAGCAGAAATACAATCAGATGTGTAGAATTTATAATGGAATATTCAGAATGTGGGGATTTGGGCTGAGGACTATGACCAGAATGGGGCTTGGGGTGTGGTGTTATTCATGGCAACCCAGCACAGCCTAGCTAGTTATGAAGTGAGATAAACTGAGAAAAGATATGAGAACCAGAATTAAATTAAGATTCTATCAAAACCCACCCTACTTAGAAGAGATTAAAAAAAAAATTCATGTCTAATTTTCTAGCCTGGAAAGCCAGTTTTCTCTTGTGATTTGTGATCTTGCAATGTGCACAGACCTTAAAAGGGAGCAGTAGTCCATAGCAAGAATTCTAGATCTGGTACTGTTTTGTTGGAGGAGAATTAGGTTTTAGCAACTCTCAGCTTACAATACATAGAATAGTAAAGGAGGGATTAATATGGGCTATGTATAATATCCCTCTCAAGAATCAAGTAGTTCTGATATCTCTTAGAGCTTAGTTACCTTCCCAGGAAGGAATCCACTGGGCACATTCAGAAAGCTTAATTTCAGACTTTCTAACAGGAAGATGGATTTTTTTATCAAATTATCCATCAAATTATCATGCTAAAGAGATCATGGGTAATGGTCTCTGGGGAGTCCCTTGGCAACTCTCAGGTTAGAATGGGCATCGAAATCATAATGTCCACAGGTCAACTTTACCATGTTCGCCGTCTTGCTCCATCTTATCTCTTCTGTAAGCATTTTGTATTTTTAACAATTTATTCCTTGGAGACAATCACCATTAACATATTGGTGGCCTTCTCTCCCCTCCTCTCTCTCTCTCGATCTACTTTTTTTTAAAAAATAAAATCATTCTCTGTGTACTACTTTTTATTATATGAGTTGTTACCTTTTTTCCTGCTATGTATTTATTCACTTATTTGTTTGTTTATTGCTTATCCCCTCTCTTCCTCCATTCTACTTTCTTTCAGTAACCAATTAAGAATTTGGTGGGCAAGTTTTTACATTGGTTTATGCTCCTAAAATTATATAGGAGCATATAAACATAGATTGGGCTTTTGCCATTTTTTAAAAAAATAGTATGTTATATTCATTTGTGTAACTCTTTTCATAATGACACAGCACAGAAATCCCTCCAAATCAATGGGTGAAAATATAACTCATTCTACTTAATGGTAATATAGTATACTTTGGTATAGATATACTGTTAATTATTTAATCATTGTCCTATTAATAATCATTGAAGTTATTTCAGGTACTCTTACAACTAAAATAATGCTGAAAAAAATAAAATAATGCTGAAATAAATTTCTCTCTCTCTCTCTCTCTGTATATGTATATAAACACACACATATATGCACACACAGACACATATATGATGCTCATATTCTTTCTAAGCTTAGCTTGTTTCATAAATAGCTTGGGTTTCTTGCTATTTATGCACACCCAAGGTGCATATAAAATAAAGACCAAAATATGTGTGTGTGTGTGTGTGTGTGTGTGTGTAAGCCCAAGTACTAGTGCTTTGTAACATCTTTTGTTTTGTATGATGTCATGCTCTTGCTAAAGTAAAGAAAAACAAAAAACATGGTTCCTTTGGAACTATCATTTTCTAAATACTAAACTAATCCCAGGTGTATAAAAAATAGTCAAGTAAGACCTTAAAGTCAGCTTTACAGAACCAGAGAGCTATATAAATATCCACATTGGCCATCTCCAGTCTGTTCAGGCTGCTCTTGGTTCTTGACGGGGTCTGGCTAGACAGAGAGTTTCTTGGCAGACACGGCTGGAGAGAAGGACTTTGGCAACTTCATACCACATAGTGAGAAAAATAAAACTCTAGAAATTTATTTGTGAGTGAAGAAAAATGTTTTGTGAATTCTAAAGCTAACAATTCTGATGAATTTCGTAGCTTTATAGTAGCTTTGTAGTCATCCTTGTGCCTGTACCAAACATACACATCTAAGTACATTAAGGATATAGACTCTACCCAACTAGGGATAAGATCTTTATGCTTCACCATGTAAAACAAACTGAGCTATTAACTGAGTCTTTGGCTAAAAGAGACATTCAGTATAATGATGAGAAACAGCATTAGAAATCGGGAGACTTGAAATCTAATTTAAAGACTCATTGTTTATTAATCTTGTGGTTTTTGGAGTCAATCTGTCAACTATTCTGAAACTCAGTTTCCTCATTTGTGTGATGGGCAGGACCACTATTAATTAAAAATATAATATAATTGATATATCAAATATGATGTAATTGAAATACTGTGTGTAATAGTCCTGAAAATCTTTAAAAACTATAATTGAATAAATAAGAAAAACCAAGTTGCTTAAAACATGTTATGGAAGAATGAAATGCCTAATATATATTTCCATTCTCTTTGGCTTAGTTATCAATTTTACTCCTCTCCGCCCCCAACACACACACAACACACTTTATAATGAGACCTGCCTGTTACTAAATGTTTAACTATATGATCAGCACTTTATAGGTGCTTTCCATGTGTTATTCTATTTAAGCCTCACAACCACTCTATGAAGTTAAAATCAACGTTTCCTTCTTACAGCCAAGACTTTGAGCTTAAGGGATGCTCAAAGTGACTCTGTTCAAAAATGTCAGGAGCTGTGATTTGAACCCTAGTCTGTCTGGCTCCAAAGCCAAAGTTTTCTTTTTCCCACTGTGTCATGTAACAAGCAATGGCTTAAGCATATACCACAGGCACAAAAGGTTGCCCTTCTACGACATGGCTTTTTATCTCTTGCCCAAGGCTTCCTTCTGCCTTGCTTTTTTTTTTTTTTTTTATGGATGCCAATTAATCATTAACATTCAGTCCTAGTGTAGATTTTTTTCAGTCCTCTCTGATGTTTTATCCATGAACTCTCCTTCCTTAGCCAGGGGATGGTAATGGACACTGCTGCCGTACTCTTATCTGTGTGCCATTGACATCCCCATGGAATGCTAAATATAATCAACTGCGCATCGCTGCCTTGGACAATTCTTCAGATGTCAGCTGGGGGAAAGCCAACATTTTTGTTCCATAATAATCCTCGAGGAGCGCAGGGAGTAGAATCATTTTCTTTTGGTAGAAGGATGGCTTTTTACATTCGAAAGCCTGCCAAAGTATTTCACCACTTCCAAGTAAAAGCCTCATTAATCATTAGTTATGGTTGCAACTATATTTCCCTCGCTAGAAATTATTTCTAACGTGACAGTAAGGTGAAAGGCAAATATCTTCAGTGCCTAGAGGCTAAGGATCTCTTAATTTAGATTGGGTGTGCATGATAACATGCACTACTCCTGGGGCTATCCCCGGCCCAAGCTAGATTATGCCCACTCACCTGTAAATCTGGTCCCCCCATTTTCTGCCCCCATTCTCAGTCTTTCTTGACTCTTTTCCCTTCCTCACATTCCGCGTTAAGCAAATCAACGTGGCATTTCTATTCATAAAAAAATATATTTATTTTTAATTCTGTCTACAATTGCTACTATCTAGTTAGGCTTTTTATCATTTCTCACCCGATTTACTGCAATGGGCTCCCTAACGGGACTTTTCTTCCTAGAGTTGCTCTTCCCATTTGTTGTATGGGAGATAAAGTGGTATTCTGATTTTTTTTTTTTTAAATTGCCAATGTGATCATCTTGCTTCCAAGGTTAAATTTGCTATAGCTCCTCAATGGTAATGAGGGTAAAAATATAAATTCCTTAAGGGAAGACAATACCTGCCTCAGTCCCTGTCTTATCTCTTCGGTCACAGTTCTGAGTTGTTTCCGCTTGTACTCTGTCGTCTGGCTCTGTTGGTCTTCTCTCAGTTCCTCAAACGTTCCTTTTCTCTTGCTGTCAGATCCTACAAGGAGGTTGGCTGAGTACTTTTCTACTTCCTGCACGAGACTCTGAGCCTCACGAGGGTGTATCTATCCCGTTATATCCCCGCCTGATGGATGCCCAACTACTATAAGTTGAATGGATCAATAAATGGATTGGAGTGGGGGCGAATCCAGGGACAGACAGCTCAGGGAAGAAACATTTAAAAACTGTAGTAGAGGTGAAACAGGCCTTTTAGCCTGACAAAGGAAGGAGGAGCAGGAGGTATTATAAGTGGGAGGAATAGAGATAAAAACATTGAAAGGAAATATTAAGAGAATGGGCTTCAATTGCTTGCTCTGGATAAGATGAAGAAAAGAATGTGAAGACTAGAGCAGGACTGGAATTTAGGGGAATTTATTTTTTTAGTTTCAGAATACTATGGGGGTACAAACATTTTGGTTACATATAATGCCTTAGCCTCGCCCAAGCCAAGGCTACAAGCGTGCCCTTCCCCCATACAATGCACTCCTCTGCATCCATTAGTTGTGAGTTTCCCCACCCCCACCACCCCCCTCCCACCTGACCGGCACCCAGTGATTATTACTACCATGCGAGTACCTTAGTGTTGATCAGTGAGTACCAATTGGATGGCGAGTACATGTGGTGCTTGTTTCCCCATTCTTGTGATACTTCACTTGGAAGGATGGGTTCAAGCTCTATCCAGGATAATATAAGAGGTGCTAGTTCACCATTGTTTTTTGTAGTTGAGTAGTACCATTCCATGGTCTACATATATCACATCTTATTAGCGGAATTGATACATTTGGGTTGGATATTCATTTGAAGTGCTTGAAGTTAGAGATATAAATGATAAAGGGCAAAATGTAAATGATGAATAAGACTCACTTCTAATCTATCTTATTTTATGTATTTTCAGTGTGTCTTATCTACCCTCCTCGGGAAGGGGGGGGGTGTATGTTTCAAAGTTAGGAATCAGCAAAAAAAAAACAAAACCAAAAAACAAAACAGTGGCCCAGAAAAATTAGTTGCCCTCAATAATCTACCATCCAGTTAATCAAATTCCTAAATAAGTTGTGTAGTCATACTCTAGTACATTCCTCTTTAGGATATTTAAAAGCTGTTAATTTAGTCACATGCTAAGCTTTGCACTATCTAAACATTTTTTGCTTTTCTAAAACTATGATTTTCAAGAAAAGTCATGCAGGAAAATCGGTTGGCTGAGGATGAACCTGAGGATCCACGGAAGTGGGTTTTAGATCTTTGGCAAGTCAAAATCCCAGAAAGTGAGCTCGTTTGTCTGGCAAGATGAATAGATTAACCAGGATCAGCGATTCTCATGCGCACTACAAATCGTCACCACCAGGAGGACTCAGACTACTGGAGATGACTCAGAGGGGCCCAGCCATGAAAGCCACACTTTTTTGGAAGATGCTCCCAAGGAGGTTATTATGCTATTAATTCTCATATCATAATTTGAAGATTAATTTGAGAATGGTCTGCGTATTCCTTAAGGGTTCTTCAAAGTCCTAAATGAGCGATGTCTGGGCTTTCATTAAACCCATAAAGTCTGTTCTGTCTCCATTTACAATATCATTTCCTATTTTATCATTTTCCTCTTATGTTCTCTTTCCAATGAAGCAAAGGAAATGAAGAGCTGGAAACTTCTCTTTGTGTTGCTCTGTAAAGACACATTTTCATGAATACTAAAAAGCAAAAGGGAAGACAGAGGATTAAAAAAAAAAAGAAAGGCAAAGAAAAGGAGAGATTTTTATTATCTTTACTTTCTGGTACTGTGTGTTTTCCTGCCTTTCCTAACTTCTGGCTTTGCATATTTGTTTTTAAAATATGTAAATTGTGGCACATACTGAACATAGAACCCTCAGCTCAGATGTGAGTGAAAATCAAGGATCAGCAAGTGATGTGGGCACTCAAGTGCCATCTGCAAACATCATGCAGAATTTTGCTTTTTGAGAAGTGGCTTGAGTTCCTTCTAGTCTTTCCTGCCTCATCTGTGGCCATTTTCCCATCCTAAAGAGAGGAGAGACTGAAGGACAAGAGAGGTCTTGTCCAGAAATGGCGTAGAGAGCCTTAGGGAGAGAAAAGGGTTGCACTGATACTTTTTTTTTTTTTTTTCATCTGCATGGGGCGATGTGTATTTTGGTACAGTGTTAAAAATCCTCAAGCAATTTCTTTCATGTCACAAGTTTAAAGAGTTATCTATGAATGAGTCAGCCTGGGAGTTGCCATGGTAACGATTCTCATCCCCTTGGAGCCAATGCCCTTCTGATGTTGCCACCGAAACGCCTTAGTTTCAGGAGTATGCGAAGTTCCAATTGCATTTAAATATTCATCATGTTACATATGCATTCCCAATTTTGCAAGATTACCTGACGAGAAGTCATTTTTAGAGAGCTATAAATAGACATGCTATGTCGTGCTCCTTTCTTCCATAAGATGAAAGACAAGTCCATAAAAATCCTTCCTGAACCTCACAGCACATCTCTCCTTTCTCCCCCTCTCCTCTTCCTCCTCCTCCTCCTCCTCCCTCCCTCTCTTCATCCCGTTTCCTGGGTGTGGGTTTGGGCATGCGTGTGTGTAATCAGTGCTCTTCATATCTGAATACTTGAAGAGGACACTCTGGACAGTGATTATTAAGCCACAATTTTCAGGAGAGTAGTTGAAAGTACTCGTGGGTTTGCCACACTGCAACTGCACATGAATGCAAATGACGCTGTGGTTTAGTGTGGAGGCAGTATAGACAGAATTCGTGTGGCTTTCTGATTTATATTCCAGGGAAGATCTGCTTGGCAGAATAGAATTGCTTGTAGCTGCCATACCTCGAAAAAGAGAAGTCCAGATTCCCCGTTGACAAGAAAGGTTCTCAATAATGTGGCTCAGCCTACTTTGCCATCATTCTTTTCCCCTTGACTTGCCTGCTCACCCAGGCATAACCCTGCTGCAGACACAAAGAGCTGCTCAGTATTTCCTTAACATTCTTGTATTTTCCTGTATCTCTGTCTTAGGTTTCATTTTGTCATGTTCTTGAAGGTCAAAAACCCTACTCATCTATAAGGCCCAAGTGGATTCCAGTTCATTCAAAACCTTTCCCAATTCCCATTCCAAGCCTTCCCCTTATTTCTTTACTTTGCTAATGTGTCTACTATTATCATTTATCCACTCTGCTTGGTGTATGTGGTCACGATTTCACTAGTCACCTGTCTCTACACTCAATGTTCTTAAGGGTGTACGTAGCCCACGTCTCATTCTTCTCTGTGTATACACATTGCCTAGCATGTGTACACCAACAGACATTTAGTAGATTTAAATGCATCGATATCAACATTCTCATCATGGCTCAGGAAAACAGCCAACTGAGGAGTTTTGGGGTTCTGGTTGTTTATGACACAATAGACCGATCATAATGCACATGGTCCTAGTTTGAGACTGATTTCTTTTTCTAATACAGTGTATATGATTTACCCTATTCCTGCGGTAAGCATGCCATGCTGTTATCTGTGGTGGTTTCCCCAAAAATCCAGTGCTGTGCTGAACTTCTGGAAGCCGTAGTATAGTATCATGATGAGGTATAGGATTTGGAGTTAAACAGATTTGAATTCAGTCCCAGTTTTGTCTTTTATTAGCTCTGTTACCAAGTCGCTTAAGTCCTTAACTCCTTTTTAAGGTCCTTTTATTAGCTCTGTTACCAAGTCACTTAAGTCCTTTTTAAGTCTGATTTCCCCATCCATTAAATAGTGATTAATTTAAATAATGTAATAAAGAGCTTAGCACAGCGCTTGGTACACAATTGTGTGTCCAACAAATGGTAGCTGTTACTACTGCAAGTATAACTCAGAATATTCCAAGACGTGGTTTCATTTCAGTTGTCCTCACCATACCGTTGGACATTCCCTCTGTGACTGGTACAAGAAATAGCCATTCTGGCAATGTGACATGTTCACAGCTACTATTTTTTTTTTATTTCGGCATATGATGGGGGTACAGATTTTAAGGTTTCAATAAATGCCCTTTCCCCCCTCCCCCCACAAGTCTGAGTCTCCAGCATGACCATCCCCCAGACGGTGCACATCTCACTCTTTATGTATGTATATACCCGCCCCCGCCTCCCTGCCCAATACCCTATTACTGTAGTACCTATGTGTCCACTTAGGTGCTGCTCATTTAATACCAGTTTGCTGGTGAGTATATGTGGTTCTTGTTTTTCCATTCTTGGGATACTTCACTTAGTAGTATGGGTTCCAGCTCTACCCAGGAAAATATAAGATGTGCTATATCACCATTGTTTCTTAGAGCTGAATAGTACTCCATGGTATACATATACCACATTTTATTAATCCATTCTTGGATTGATGAACACGTGGGCTGTTTCCACAGCCTTGCAATTATGAATTGTGCTGCTATAAACATTCGAGTGCAGGTGTCTTTTTTGTAGCGTGTCATTGGATCTTTTGGGTAGATGCCCAGCAATGGGATTGCTGGATCAAATGGTAGTTCCTCTTGTATCGCTTTAAGGTATCTCCATATTGCTTTCCACAGAGGTGGAACTAGTTTGCAGTCCCACCAGCAGTGTAGGAGTGTTCCTCTCTCTTCGCATCCACGCCAAACCTTGGTCGAATTACTTCCTCAGGCTAGCCCCAACTCCCTGATACAGAGAAAGGACTCGCACAAACTGGGTAGTGGGCTATGGATTGACCTCGAATTCTCATTCTGCTCACAGCAATGGGTCTGTGCTGGCCGGAGACTCTCTCTTGAGTTGGAAGGAAAGACACACAGAAAGGACACAGTAGCAGCACGGGGGCAGGAACAAACACGCACAGAGAGGAAGCAGCATGGAGGGGGAAAAATAAAGTCAGACCATCGAGAGCTACTGGTAAAAGTGCGGGAATCAGAAATGCTTACAGGTTAAAAAAAAAAAAAAGATAAGGAGTAGCTGAACTATCTGAATGGTAGGGCAACAGGGAAGTACAGGTACTGGAGTGGTTTCCGGGCCTGGCGATCTCTAGAGTTAATTAATGCTGATCCTGAGCTTGGTCCCAGCTCCCAGTGATGCTCAGCTGCGTGGGTGCCAGCGCTGTTTTCAGTTCTTATAGATGACACGTCCCATCAGCTGAAACGACGGGAATGTATCTATTCCCTTTACACTTTGGAGGTGCCTACCTTAGGACCTCAATTATTTCTGATCTTCACATGCCTACTGTTTGACACTTAACTCCAAGGCAATCATTTCTTTATCTAGCAAGTATTTTTTGAATGCCTACTGTGTGTCAGGCACTGGAACCCCAGGGAGAGTCACTTTCTTCCTCCTCTATGCTACTAGTGTATTTTTAGTACCCTACTTCCCTCAATGTCTTCCCTCTAAAGCCGTGGTCCCCAAACCCCGGGCCACAGGCTGGTACCGTTCCTTGGCCTGTTAGGAACCGGGCTGCACAGCAGGAGGCGAGTGCTGGGTGAGCAAGCAGAGCTTCATCTGTGCAGTCCGTATTTACAGCTGCTCCTCGTCACTCATGTCACCGCACAAGCTCCGCCCCCTGTCAGATCAGCAGTGGCATTGGATTCTTCCCATAGGATCACAAACCCTACTGCAAACTGCGCATGCCAGGGGTCTAGGTTGCTCACTCCTTATGAGAATCCAATGCCTGATGATCGAAGGTGGAGCTGAGGCGGGGATGCTAGCCCTGTGGAGTGGCTGCATCATTAGCAGAGATTTTGACTGCACCATAAATGTCATGTGCTTACCTTTACAATCATCCTTAAACCATCCCCGCCACTGGGTCTGTGGAACAACCGTCTTCCATGAAACCAGTCCCTGGTGCCAAAAAGCTTGGAGACCGCTGCTACAGGCTAAATATATGTGTCCCCTCAAAAGTCATATGATAAAACCTAAAACCCAATGTGAGAAAACAACACCCTGCCCCCAACTCCATAGAAAAACTGTCTTCCACGAAACCAGTCCCTGGTGCCCAAAAGGTTGGGGACTGCCACTGTACAGTGTGGGCTCCCTTAGGGGTGGAATTGTATTTTATTCACCCATACTTCCCAGCATATAACTGATGTTTGGCTCATACTTTTGGCTCTCAAGAAATATCTTCTAAATTAATTTTTATATATGACTCAGACAAACAAAACAGCTGTTTCCATCCCCCCAAACGTTGCACATTTTACTCGTTTTGGTTGTATATACCCATTCCACCCTCCTGACACCCAATAAATGTTACTCCTATGTGTCCACTTAGGTGCTGATCCTTTAATACCAATTTGCTGGTGAGTACATGTGGTGCTTGTTTTCCCATTCTTGGGACACTTCACTTAGTAGAATGGGCACGCTTGAAGCTCTTACTCAAGGGTGGAGGGGGGTATGGGCAATATATGTAACCTTAACACTTGTACCCCCACAATAGGCTAAAATAAAAAAAAAGTTTGAGGACCCCTGAGACCAACACTAATTACTAAAATCAATAAAAAGCAATGATATTAATAGCTAAAAAAAAAACCCAGCTGTTTCAAGGGAGTATGGTTATAGAGTCTGCTTCTGTGTTACTGATTTGCTGGGTCAGGACTATCTTTAAAGGGGTAGCCATTAACTGTAACATATGGTCCTGGGATGATGTGTGGTCCAGTACATATTTATATTTACCTGTATTCACCTTGAAGTTAATGAGTGGCATGCATCTCTACAGAGGAAACCCAGTATTCAAGAAACTACGCTCTTCGGTGCTAGCTTATATGCAATAATAAAGATATCAGGTGTTTCTGAGAAATGATTATCAACTTCTCACACATCAGAAAAAAAAGTAGAACCTCATAAAGTAATACAGGTGTGGGAATGCATCAAGATAAAAGGAGTAAATAAAACAGGATAAGAAATGAATTTCATAGTCCACAAAATATAATATATTGCATAATGACTGCTGATCTCCCCAGCAGCCATATTTATAAAATATGAATGACCTGGAACCCATAGCCACGACTGATAGGGTTAGGAGAAAACACCTGACCTAAGCTGAGACAACTTTCTACAGTCTCATGGAAACTTTGAATTTGAATAAAGAAATTATGGTTTTTGCCGGGCGTGGTGGCATGGTAAAAATTTCTATATTTTTGAATTTGTTGAGGTCTTAATTGTGGCCTAGTGTTTTA